GTGCACCTACCCCACCCACATTTTTGATGTTGTCAGTACCGGGGCTTGAACCGGCCATCTTCCGCTCACAGGCCCACCTTCTCTAACCTCTGTGCCACCACAAATGATACCAGCATAATTTACGCATCGGATTTTTCCGATCCAACCTGCCGATATTTCCGATCCATGATGCATGTTGGCTTCAAACTATGGAAAGGATTTCCTGAACGGAGGTGTGTTTCATGAACCCAGAGGAATAAGACCTGCCTCACATTCAGGAAATCCATTTCATAGTTTGCAGCCAGCTACAACGTGAGGACTGAGTTAGCAGCACTGTGGCTAACAGCTAACAAACTTTTCATCTAAACATGTCCGCAGTGTGGAAGTATTTTACACTAGAAACACCACAAAACAAGACAGCAACGTGCAATGTCTGCAGAGCCATAGCACCACATTAAACAATGGTAAAGTTAGTGTTATGTTGGACATTCGAACTCCATGGCTCCAGGGCGCTACTCTTGCTCAACCCTAAACAGGCAACTCGACCCCAGCCAGCCGCGTCCAATCTGCCCGTCTCTGAGGAGGGACAGACTGAGTGTGGCTGACCGAAATCAGGCTGCTTGCTTTGGATTGAACAAGAAGAAGACCTCGCTGAAGCCACGAAGCTTGAATCTTTACAGAGAAGTTGCTAAACTTCATCGTAATTAATGACCAACCGCTATCAGCTGTAGAAAATGAAGGATTTTGCAGCTTCATACTTGCAGCCAAGTTATAGTTTATCCTCCAGAGATATTTATCAGTACAACAGTAGACAATCATAAAAAAAATATGATTTGAAAATTATATATATTAAAAAAAAGAAACAAAAACAGCTACATTATAAAGTGATATAAAATACTAAAAACAGGAACATGTCTGTTGGTTTATGCCACAAACTTAGCAGGTGTTTGAAGCCATTTAACATTTTATTTAATTTGATTCATTTATTCATTTATTTAAATGAAACAAATTTTTTTTTTAAATCATCAAAAAGAAAATATTGAATGAAAAGAGTGCAGGAAGAAGAAAAAATTATAAAATATAAAACAACTTTAAACAATCACTTAAATTAATAACTTTAATATCCACTTCAAAACTAGGAATAAAAAAAAAACATGTTTGTGTTAGCAGAATTTAATTCTAACTTTAAAACTTATCCAACATTAATAAAACTTACCTCAAGTTGCCTTTTTGGACATGCATGCATATATTTGTACACATTGTACTTGAGAGCAGATTATTACAGCCTCATATAAAATCAACGATGATCATGATATCGGAACTGGATCGGCATCGGCCGATACTCAGATTTGGGTATCGGGATCGGAAGTTTAAAAAAGTGGATCGGTGCATCCGTACTGCTTAGTGGGGAAAACAATTTACTTGGGACTCCTCAAACTGATGAAGCCCTCTGTATAGAGGGAACAATGTCTTTCCACAAAAAAGAAACTGTCTAGATGACCTGACTGACCATTATTGGTGATATGCATTCGTTTAAGGAATAAAACATTTTTAATTTAATTTTGTTGTGATACATAAAACCTTATCATTAAAAAGGCTTTTCTTTTCTTTACTTTTATTTTTAGCAAGATTGTGCTTCTATACTTGACCATAAAACTACCGTAGTCAAACTAGATGAATGACAGCTTCAGCCACATAACTTTTCTTCCAAGTCCAAGTCTTTTCCTTTGTCGACCACATAAAGGGGAAAACCCTGAGTCGAACACATGATGTAGGAATAAATCCTGCCATGAACAACAGCCAGACTGAAGGCTCTGAACACATGCACCTGCACGGTCATCACTGAACAATCGGCTCATCGTGGTGGTGGTCATGTGTCATTCATCCCTCTCTGTTGAAGGGGGCTTAAACACACGTCTGTTTATGCATATGTGTGTCTGGCCAGTGTGTGAAATGTTAGTTTTGGTGCTGTCATTTAAAGAAAGGGAATTAATCTGCTCTCAGAAGGTAGTTACAGAGAGGCCATGAATTTTAGCAGTAAAGCTCATTCTAGGTGGTATTTTAAGAACTGGCAAAATCTAGAGATAAAAGGCAAGAACGTTTTGTGAAAATGTTATAAAATTACAAAAGTTCAGTTATTCCAACCTATGTGAACAGTGGTTAAGAAGATCGAGTGGCGAAAGCGTGCAAAACCAAAAACATGGAAACTCAACACACGAAAGCTTTGTTTAGTGCAACATTTTGAACCTAGATCTATTTTGTCTTTATATTTGTCTTAAATTCATGAAATACTGACCTTTTTTGTGTATTCATGAAATATTTTAATGGCTTTCTCAGCGTGGGCAGTCATTTTAAGCTGACATGAAGAAAAAGCATCTTGTTTAAGATGCATAAAATAAATAAATCATTATCTGAAGGGGATATTACAATGGCTATTTCACCAAACTTGCAAAATTTTGCTCTCCAGATGTCAAAGCATCAATAACATCATTACCTAAATGAGTTTCAGATGAGATAATACTTATCTCTTAACCTTCTTGAGACAAGCTACTTTAAAAATAGGCATCTGCACAACAAAAGGATTGACATGGTAATACTCTGCTAATACTCAATAATCCAGGTGTAAAAATCTAACAAGTTGTCATGTCCTCTAGACAGATTTTTTTTTTTTTTTTTATTGCTGAAACGTTTCATCTTTTGTCCAAAAGACTTCATCAGTCTGAGGAACTGAACTAAACTCAGTCTTATAAATAACGCCTTCTCATAGTGGATCAACCCGTTTGATGGAAACATCAAGAAAAGGATTGGCAGTATTTTCAAGCAAACACCAATTTGATTTCTGTTAGCATTTTATTTGCTACTAGAATAATTTAGGTGGAAGTTTTAATTGTCACTTTAATATCTATGTAGATATCGACTTAAATGTATAGCAGTAGCCAACTCACAGATCTTTTTTACTAGTAGCAAAAAAAGAAGAGCTCCTGAGCCGGCAGCATGGAGGATCTTCCGCCTTGACTGGTGGAGCTCGGAGCCGGGGAGACGATGCCCTGCATGGCATTAGCAGGCTCCCAAGCTCCGGGGAGACTGGCAGAGCTCCATCTAGCTCGCTCTGAATTTTGTCGTTGGCCACCAAGCACAAAAATCGCCTGCACTTCAGCATTAGAACACGGTGTTGTCATTTTTGTTTTTAAAATACTAAAAATAGGTCCAGCCGCTGCTCTGAGTTCCGAGTAATTGCAATGGCAGATCGGTGAAAAGTTTTCTGAAAGGACCAGTGACTCCTCCCACTGACCAATCAGTGACCAACAGTGTTCTGACGTCACGTTTTTGTGTCGGCTCGGCTCGCTTGGACCCCTTGAGAAGAAGGGACAAAAAAGGGGGCCGATGCAACTAAAAAATACTAGTGGAAAAGCGCTCAAAACCGCAGTGAACCGAGCTTACCTGATCCGTACCGTCACTGTGGAAAAGGGGAATAAGTGGCTTAAAAACATCTGTTAAGTTCCTGGAAAAAACCAGGGCAGACATGTTCCTGTTTTTAGTTTTCTACACCACCTTACAACTTAGCTGTTTTTTCGCTACTTTTCCTTTTAATTATCCTTTTTATTACCATTTTATTTTCACTTGTTAAAATTAATAAATACATTTGTATGCATCCTTTATGATTGTCTATTGCTGTCGTTGTTGTCCAATGTTGTCATCACTCTGTTAAAATTCAGGTCTCTCTTGTAAATGAGTCTCCGAGGTTCAATGGGATTAACCTTTATAAATAAAGGTTGAATGAATGCGTGGGTTTGTTCCAGGTACTCCAGTTTCCTCCCACAGACCAAAAACATGCATGTTAGGCTGATTGACAACTATAAATTAGGTGTGAGTGAGAGAGTGAATGTTTGTTTGTCTCGTTTGTCTCTATGTGTCCCTGTGATGGACTGGAGACATGTCCAGGGTGACCCCACCTCTCTCACAGTGATGGCTGGACATGGGCACCTCTGCAACCCGAAAAGGAAGAAACTGATAAAGATGATGGATGGATGGATGGATGGATGGATGGATGGATGGATGGATGGATGGATGGATGGATGGATGGATGGATGGATGGAACTTGCAGGATCATGTCGTGAAATATCGTGGCACCATGGTGCTTAATGTTTTGGAAAAACTCACCATCTACAGGGTTTCTGGTCTGGCTCACAGCTAGAAATCACCAACATAAGCTCTGCAGGGTGCAGGAGGAAGCTGCAGCTTTAACTAATAACAGTAATATATTGAAATGTATACTACTTGAATTTATCAGGCACTCTGTGTTTAACAGTTAGTGGATCGTGGTTTAACAGCACTGTGATGTCATGGTTAATCTGTGAGGAAAGACTGAGCTGCAGTGCAGCTTCATTATATCTGATTATTATAGACTGTGGGCTATTTTGTTACATTTGGATGATGTTTGTGATCTGTCTTATAAGCTGGGCTATCAAAAATCAAATAATAACCACAGAGCAAATCAGAGTTATTTAGTGATGTGTTTTTTTTTTTTTTTTTAATTCTATTTTTGCACTTCAGTTTAAGTCATGGTTACCATAAAATGACACCAGAGTCTATATTTCAAATTTAGAGCTGTTAGGAAGTATCAGGAATTAATATTGTTCTTTTTATCCTTAGATCTTGATGCAGCTGCAAACATTATCAGACTGACTTATGTGGGGTTTTTTTTCTTGGAACAAACATTGCTTTAATTTGAAATAACATCTTGTAAGTTGCCATTACAAGAAAATATTTACACAAACATTGTTGTCAATTTAAACAAATAAATCACCAGATTTGTGCTGTGCAATAAATTGAAAGTAGCATCCCATCCACTGTGCCACTGATGGACTTTGATGGTCAATATATTCACATAACCACCCAACCTTAAGTCACACCAAACTGTTGCTGCATTTATATTGTGATTGTGAAAGACCAAACTTGAGTGCTATTCCCATAAGTGATCATAACAAATGTGTGGAGTGTCAAACTTGGAATGCACTTACTGGGTCTGTGCAAGGCAGCCAGGGGCCAGGATGTTCTGGGAGTGAGGGGTTTGCTGCAGACTTGTGAGCTCCAACATATCCACCTGCACATCAGTCACATGACCAGGTAACAGCTTTAACACTGTAAGAACCTTTTCAACCAGGTTGTCACCATGGTGACCAACAGCACCTGTAGAAAAGAAAAAAAAGATTCACCTAAACTTTTGATGATATGTCAATAAGAATGTCTGTCTTTAAACTAGAAAAACACTAACAGCTCAGTGATAACCACTGCAGCAGGTCCTAAACTGGATCATGCTACATAAATACGGTCATGGACCTACCTGGAAGATCCATTGTTCGGTCTACAAATATCATGGTTGCTTTATTAGGTGCAGTCTTCTTTCTGTTTTTTGCCTGGGTGTGTTTGGCCAGTTCCCCTGTGATGATGCGGCTCATTGGACCCACAGCAAAGCTCTCTTCTCTCGTTCCTGTGGCCTCAAACATCAAATTTAAGGCTGAAACTAAGGACTTGACTTGGATCTGCAGCTCCAAAGGCAGGGAGTGCATGTCCACATCATTCACGCTGGCAAACCTCTTCTTCTCTGGTAGTTTTGCATTGATTGTCACCAGGTCAGGTGAGAGTAGGGGAAACAGGTGTGCAAGTGTTGGTGTGACGATAAGCTGCTGGGATATAGGAGCAAAGAGCACAGGAGCATACATAACTTCTGCAGTGTAGTTCATATTTCCCATCCACTCGCAGAGCTTCTCTTCAAACTGCTCAAAGACGGGGTTTCCGTCCATTTCTGCCGTGACTTTGTTGGCAAGCAGGTGGGCAGAGTGAGGGACCGAGGTGAAGACAACACAGTACTGAAAGTGGCTGACAGATATGATGTCTCTGATGATATCGACTGTTCTTCCCTTTAACAAAGTGCTCACCACGAACACAGCTTTGGGCTCGTTCACACTGCATGCTTCGAAGCTTGAAAACTGCTTTATGTTTCTGGCTTCAGCCTCCAAGAAGGCAGCAGCCCCTCCACTCCAGTGAAGAGTCTCTGCACAACTGTCATCCATAAAAACTACAGCTCTCTTTACCTTCGACTTCACTTTCTCCCATGCCTGGAGAGGAAAGTGTGTAAAATCCTCGGTTGTCAACATTTTGATCATCAGCAGCGACAGCTAAGTGCAATGAAACAGCAAAAGCATCCGAAATGTCAGCTAAAGTCGCGTAAACACAATACGTGAGTCTCTTAAAGGTGACGTGACAGGTCACGCGTCGCAGGATTAAAACGTCACTCAAACGTTGCTATGGTAACTCCCAGCTGAACCCTACCGGCCCGAACGTTGCTGCAGTTAGAAACGTTACATGTTTTTTTATGCCATGTGTTTTGAGACCATCCCAAAAAAAAAAAAAAAAAAATACTTCACAAGCAACGATAGAGTCTAGTTCAGGTGTATGTTTGGCTTAAAACGACATTTCTTTATTCTGAAATGTCTTCATCAGATCAAGACTCCAAAGAGGACGACGAGGGCAAACTATATCAATGTAGCTAATGTTTTTAACGGACTATATCCTTTTAATGTTTAGCCTGGTCTCTCCATTTCCGGTGTAAACAAACTTTAACTACAGGAAGCTCTTGATGATTGGAAGTTTTTGATGAGTGTAGCTTAAATGTAAAAAACTATTCAGATTTTCGGGCAGTTATGTAAAATACTTTTTTTTAGGGATATTTGATCTCGGCAGGGAAGAGAGAGAAGAGACAGAAAATGAGGAATTCCCTTTCAGGTAGGCTTAGAGCTCATGAGCTTTTCAGCTTGTTTGAAGTATTTTGTTTACTTTGGCAATTTTCTTTTTTTTAAGTCAAATTTTAGTCCTGATGATCACAGTAATTTACTAGAGCGGCTTGAATATGATATTGGAATTACAGAAATGGCTCTAAAATAGTTTAAATCATATTAATCTGATAGATTTCAGTTTGTAAATGTAAATAATGAATCTGCTCCATACACCGAAGGTAGTCATGGAGTTCCTCAGGGTTCAGTGCTTGGACAAATACTCTTTACCTTATATATGATGGGTATAAGGTATAAGTTCTAGAATTGCGCCGCTCAAGGTGGCTGCATGTTGGAGCAGCTCTGTTACTTTCATTCTGAGATTCTGCTTTTGGAAACTTTAATTCCTCTTTTTCTGGATGTAAATCACATTTTTTGGATGATCGTTTCCTCTGGTATCGGATGCTGTGCAGCTGGAAGGATTTTTACTGAAACTTTTTTAGTTTTGGACATTTGTTATGATGCGTAACCATGGCAACATGGCAGTTTTCTAGAACAACAGCAGCTGATTAACATCTCAAAAGCTCAAATAATATCTCAACTACAGCCCCAAATCTCAAATGAGTTGAAAAGGATGTTATGTGGACGCATTCTCATCTACCTGCCAGCTGTGCTCGAGTGCCTGACCACTGAGATCCTGGAACCAGCAGGAAACACGGCTCATGACAGCGGAAGGACAGGATCGTCCCTCAGCACCTACAGTTGGCTGTCCGCAGCGACGAGGAGCTCGGCAGAGTGCTGGGAGGAGTGGCCATCACTCTGGGAGGAGTTCTGGCAGGCATTCGGGCGGCCCTGCTGCCCAGGAGGACTGAGAGGCCAGCCGGATCTGACATCAAGCTGGATCTGGGTGGACAGATCGGTATCTGTGGCCTGATTCTTCATATTCGCTGCAGGAGATCCTTCCTTCCCACAGCAATCAGCATCTAACAACTCTTGAATAAAACCAGGATGATGAGCTTCGACAACACTTAATTTCCCTCTGGGATTAATAAAGTATTTTTTAATTGAATTGAATTGAATATATGTGTCCCTTAGGTAAAGTTATTAAACAGCTTGGAATAAATTTTCATTGTTATGCTGATGATACACAGTTATATTTGTCCATGAAACCCAATTAATCTAATCAACTACTTACATTAAATACATTTCAATTCAGTTCAGTTTATTTATATAGCGCCAAGTCACAACAAAAGTAATCTCAGAGCATATGTCTTAAAAAATCATAAAAACCTAGATGACCCTTAATTTTCTGCTTTTAAACTCAGACAAGACAGAGGTTGTGGTTTTTGGACCTGAGCATCTTAGGAATAAATTTTTCAGTCTTTCACTTTTGGATGGCATTAATTTGGACTCCAGTTCTAAAATTAAAAATCTTGGTGTTATTTTTGATCAGGATATGTCTTTTAACCCCCATTTTAAAAATGTTACCAAAACTGCTTTCCTCCACCTGAGTGGAGAAAAGTGGAGAAAATCACATCTTCACAAGATTAGAAACATCTTGTACAAAAATGATGCAGAAAAACTTGTTCCTGCATTTGTCACGTCTAGACTGGACTATTGCAATGGTTTATTATCTGGATGTCCAAATACTTCTTTAAAACGCCTTCATTTGATCCAAAATGCTGCTGCCAGAGTCTTAACTGGAGTTACTGGGAGAGATCATATTTCTCCAGTTTTAGTTTCTCTCCATTGGCTCCCTGTCAAATCCAGAATAAAATTCAAAATCTTACTTCTAACCTACAAAGCTCTCAACAACCTGGCTCCATCTTGTATTACAGATCTTATTGTTCCGTATTTTCCTAACAGAACACTTCGCTTTCATACTGCAGGCTTACTCGTGGTTCCTAGAGTTTCCAAAAGCAGAATGGGAGGCAGATCTTTCAGTTCTCAGGCTCCTCTCTTGTGGAACCAAATTCCAGTTTCTGTCCGTGAGGCTGACACATTGTCCAGTTTTAAGACTGGGATTAAGACTTTCCTTTTTGCTAAATCCTATAGTTAGGGTCAGCTTGGGTTTCCTGAGCTGTCCCTTAGTTATGCTGCTATGGGCTTAGACTGCTGGAGGACAGACCACATTTCTTCACTCTGCTTTTGTCTGTAGTTATTCTACTCTGTCTGTTAGCAAAATATCACATGAACTTCTGAACAATTTTTGATTAGACTTGCAGACAATTATCACTGGTTTAACATCTACAACCAGTTAACCTTTGACCCGATTTAAGATGGCCAACATGCTGTAGGTGATTGATTTTAAAGGCACAAAAATTGCTTTTACTCAGTAATTTTGTAAATATTGACCCATAATATGGTGTGGTAGTAGCTGAGACTGATCCCCAACAAGTATCCTGCTATTAGATCTTTATTTAAAATGTTACTAAACTATTTGTAGCCCACTCTGTCTGTTTGTCAGCACATTATTATTTTGACATAACAAGCTAATCTCTTTATGACACAAACACAATATGAACTGCAATAAATAAAATCTAACATGCATTCAATGTTATACATTTCTGACATGGAGGGTGCATGAAGGTGGCAACGAAGCTAGAAATATCACGCCTGGTTTCGGTGCATGCGGTGTAGAACAAACGTTTTCTGGTACTTTACAGTTTTCTCTTCACAGTAGAGTGATCACTGTAGTTTCATGTGGCAGCAGTGTGTGCTCTGCCCCTGATGTGCCATGAAGCCAGGCTCCTGAAGCATTAATATACTTGTTATGATTATTAGATCTGCTGTCAGGAGAGCAGTGTTTGTTTGTGAGCTGAAAAATTGGATTATAGGCAATCATACAACTGGAGCATCATTGTATCTGCAGTTTGTGTTATTATGATTTTTTAAGAATTAATGTGGCATAAAGTGTTATTATATTCACACCTAAACTTGTGAAGTCATGTATTTATTTAATTTAGAGAGAATGACTTTTTTTGTCTTGGTTGTACATTAATATTATGTTTTTATTAACTTTTTCAGATATTCTATTGGCTAAATATTTTTAAGATTATTATAAATGTTAATGGGCAGCACAGTGGCACAACTGGTAGAGCTGCTGCCTCTCTTCAAGAAGGCTGCCGGTTCAAATCCTGGTCCAGGGGCCTTTCTGGGTGGAGTTTGCATGTTCTCTCCGTGCATGCGTGGGTTTCTCCGGGTACTCCAGTTTCCTCCCACAGACCAAAAACATGCATGTTAGGCTGATTGGTAACTCTAAATTGTCTCTAGGTGTGAGTGAGAGAGTGAATGGTTGTTTGTCTCGTTTGTCTCTATGTGGCCCTGTGATGGACTGGAGACCTGTCCAGGGTGTCCCCCGCCCCTCACATAGTGATTGTTGGACATGGGCACCAGCGACCTCCGTGACCCAAAATGAAAGATGGATGGATGGAGAAATGTTAACATCTTTTCCTGTACATATTTTGAAAATAGTATTTTCATTTTGTGACCAACATGTTTCAGTATACTTTATTTGTCTTTAAGAAAAAATACACATGGGTTTACACTCAGAACATTTGTTGTGAGTTTCACAAGTTATTTTATTTTAAAGGAAATCTAAAAGCTGCCAGTTACGGCTAGAAGAGTAACAACGATGCAAACATTGAACACACATTCATTTAGCTGTGCATATGAGAATGCAACTATTTCCTGACAAAGAAAACGATAAATGCATACTTTTTATTTATTTATTCAGCTTTTGGGGCATTGCATGAACGTATATTATTTGGCAGAAGCCCACTTCTGTCACCATGTAGGTTGGAGATGTTTTCTTATGGGAGAAACTATGATTTATTTCTTCTCCGTTGTTGAAGACCAAATAGGCTATTAGCGTTCAGCCCAGACCGATGTGCTTTATGGAGTTCAACTTATTGACTTCATGACGGAGATAACACTCATGGTAATGTGATTTCTTGCAGCTCTGGGCACACATCTACACCACCTGAGATTATTTCTGAAGAGAGGATCAACGCAGCTGGTGAGTAGGTGCTCTGATGAAACTTTGTGGCAGGATGACTCATTAAACAACACAACCACACTCCATTAAAAAATACAGCCGTTCACCTTTAAATATACACACCATGCTGAGGATCTTTAGAGGTTTGTGTTCATTACCAAATGTTTAGTTTGTTACTAAGAGAAATGCTTGAGTTTAGTTTAATGATGTTTTTCTGATTAAATGTTGTTTTTGCAGGCACCTCACAGGATGAAGTGGACAGAATCCTAGAAGTCCAACAGGTGAGCCTGCAGGAGGAAAAACCATGGAGAAAACCTGGTATGTTAGAGCTAACACATGTACATCATGCAGTCACCTCTTGTGATTAGACTTGTGATTTTCAGCAATATGTTTGTTTTCAGGAGCTGCAATCTCTGATTACTTCAACTATGGATTTTATGAAGAAAGCTGGAAGGCGTATTGTAAGAAACAGTTT